TGTTGAAAATTTTTCTAAATCAAATGTAAATTTCAATCGCTATATTGAAGTGACCGTTTCAGTGCGAAAGTTCTAAACACATTAAATCAACATTGCGTGTATAGAANATTTCAGTTTTCCATTTTCCTCTCAAAACACAATGATGCCAAATGGCTTTAAAATACAACTGAAACAGTAACCCGGAAATTTGGCAGTCCCGAGCTTGCAGCGCTCCCTAGTGTAGAAAACACCATCCATACAATTTTCAAACACGAAAGTATGATTGATACATTTATTGTATGCTTTGAAAAGAAAAGTTACACAGACTATGAATGATCTTTTGGTAGGTCATGTCACTCTTCCTTCATTCAAAAGGGAATCGAGGTGTTTTACATTTATTGTATGGTAATATCAATGTAAATAACGGTTTAAATAATTTGTGTTGAAAATTTTTCTAAATCAAATGTAAATTTCAATCGCTATATTGAAGTGACCGTTTCAGTGCGAACGTTCTAAACACATTAAATCAACATTGCGTGTATAGAATATAAAACAGAATTTTTTGCTGACAGGGTTGCCAATCCACAGGGAGAACGAATAAAACCTGGAAAATACAGGGAATTTAAAAATAACGGGGGAAATGCAAGGAATTTTGATTTTTTTTCTTTACAAACTGGGGAAATACAGGGAATTTTGTTTCTTATTTTTGTCTCTTAAAAAACGTTGACCACTCAAAGCGTAATCTATGGGATATATTTAACCATGATATTTCAGCTATACTAAAATATTTCATTTACTATAGCATTATTTAAGTATGTTCAACTGTTTTTCCAGCGATTAAAACTAATAAATATAGTTAGCCCAATATAGCTCACACAAGAGCTCAGTGATTGTTGTTTCCTCTTAATATATTGTGTATAATATTTACAGGAAAAACACAGGGAATTTTTTCCCCTCCAGATTTGAGTTACAACCCTGTTATAATGGAAGCGTCGTTGTAATGGGGTTAAACTAAACAGCGTAAACTGTATTATTATTTACTCGTACTAGAGGAAAACCGAAGACGGGAATAGTGTAAAGGCACTGTGCCAGTTGAAATTTGAACAAGTCATTAGGAAGCATCATTCTGCGTGATCCAGTGGCGTGAGCTTGCTGATAAATGACGCTTTGGATCAAGTGGACATGTACGAAGTGCTAGTTTGTTCCCTGAATGGCGAAACAGTTGTAATCCAAGTGAGCCTAATGGTCAAGATGGAGGCTATTAGGAGAAATGGAGATCCTCTAAACGAGTTCCCTGAAGCAAAATTAACTTTCTAGATTCTACCCTCTATGAACTGACTAAATACTGCCCTTGATAAATGAGTATGAACACCGGATTCGATTGCTTTATTATATTCGATTCGTTCATTGTTTGTATGCCCTGAAGGAACTCTTTAAAATTTGACTTTACGATTGCTTTAATCGATTCGTGATAAGTAATTTATAACGGAATGTACTTTAGCTATAATCTTGAATTTTTTTTCTTCATGTGTATAAAATAATATAATTCCTTCTATTCCAGAAAAGGTTTAAAATTTTTGATTTGATTGTTAAGGCTTTTCTAGAATAAAATTGTGTAACGTGCGACCCTTGAATGATCAATGTATGGGTCCTTTGCCTTCCAAGTATTATCTGGGGAAAGCTAAATAATTGACATAAAAAACTGTAACGTAGGAGACCATGGGTTAGAGTCCGCTTGCCATCGAGCTAACCGTGGGAGGTTTTTGTGGTTTCCCTTTCCATGTGACTCAAATATGGGTTAGTTCCTTCAAAAAGTTTCGATGGCTAGTTTGTCCCAATGCTTAATCTAGGAGTTCCCTTGTCTTCCAGGTTTGGTCCAGAATTACAAGGCTGTATTGAACATTACTAGACGTTAACTCAGAATACATTAAACTGTCATTCTAAAGAACTAGGGTGCGATCCCCAGTGGGTTACGAATTTTGCACCCTTTTCCCAACTACCACAGTACTGACGTAAAATATCCTCCGTATTAGACGGATCATGGTTTAGAGTCCCCTTCCCATCTGGCTGACCATGTGAGATTTTCGCCATTTTCCTCTCCATGTAACGCAAATACGGCTTATTTTCATCAAAAAGTCCTCCTCGCAAGCAAATTTCTCCCAATACTATATACAGGAGTTCCCTTGTCTTCTGAATTGGGTTCAAAATTACTAACTTGGCTACGGAGTTGAACATTGGAAGTCGTGTACTCAAAATTGAGTTGACTGTTCAACGCCGGTGATAAAATTTTAAAAAAAAATTTCATTCAATCTAATTCTAATAAATGTTAAAGGAATATTAAAGAATGAATATAAGAATATTAAAAATAGCTAGAGTCTATCAAATTTTATCTAAAAATTTCTGCTTGAAATAAATAAGTATATAAATTTCAAGTTCAAGACAGATTGTAAGTTGTTTTCTTCTTTGAAACAATAAATTAAAAGAATAAAACAAAACTTAGGACGAAAAAAAAAAAAACATTACATGTTTTTTTTATATACTACTTACATAGAAATGGTAATCATAAATTTTTTTTCTTTAAGTTTTAGATAAACTATTCAAAAGTTTTTTTTTTAATTTGATTGTATTAATTTTTTTCTTTTAATTAAAAAATAGTTTTTTAGGGTTTAAAGAAGAAATGTCTTTGAAAAAAATTTTGAAATGTTGGAAAATTGTTGGATGGCACGTTTGCCCCTTCCGGACGCTACGCTTATGTACCTAGTTTTCAGATCATTATTTTTATTCAATGATTGACCCACATAAGCTTAGTTTATCCATTTAGTTTTAAAGTAGTGAGAAAGTATATGAAAATTTAAACATGAATTCAACCCAAAACACTTCGTTCAGCTTACATGTGTAGGATCTCGGGTATTACCCCTGGAGGAATTACGGATAAATAGTTCGATCATTTCATCTGTTAGCTTGCCTTTTTATTTAGGTTATTAAAAAAAAAATTTTTTTTAGTTCGTTGACACTTGAAAAAATTTAATGCTATACTGCAGGGCTCGAAAAAAGTCAGAAATTTTACCCGTCCCCGAGGACGGCTTGTCCAACAATGTACCCGTCCTCCTTTGAAACTAACCCGTAGCTTCTAAATAAATAAATATATAATTTTCTCTTATTTATTACAAACATTTATATAAATTGCACAATGAATTAGCAGTTACTAGGATTACAAATACTAGGATTACATTATACAGTAATAAAAGAANCGTTACATGTTACCATATACGTTACACGTTACATGTTCTGGTAAAAATGGATCGTACGGTAAAGAATTCCGGTACCCTAAAAGCCTGTACTTTTTACCAGAACTTAATCCAGAATTTTTTGCAGGGTAGTACTACAGCTACAGTTAACAAGTGTTCTATATTATTGGTAAATGCAGCTTATATAATCTATTATTATTTATGCTGAGTCAAAAATTGCGAACATTTATTATAATAAATAATTCAGCTTCAAAATATATATATATATATATATTTACGATAAAGGCAAAAATAGTAAACAGAAAAACTGTTTCTGGCAAATTTATCTTGATTATTACAAATGAACAAAATGCCCTCCAAAACTTATAGCATCTCGAGTCATTTTTCTTTTCTTTACGCGTTTTTGTCTTATTGATACAATTCCAAATAACAAAAAATTACATATTCAAATAAATGCCAGAAAACCAAAAACAACTCACAAAAACTTAAACCCCTTTTCTCCCAAATCTAAACAACACGAAAACAGGAGATTTGGGGAAGGGTAGAGGGGTTGTTTGAGTTACAGGCAGCCGTAGGAAAGCCAAACTTGATTCTTATCAAGCCGGGGATCTTGGAAGAAAATTTTAAATTAAATTTCGGCCTCAGCCGACAAGGAAGCATTTTTAGTTTGTTTATTTTTTCACTCCATCCTTTGTGGACGCCCTCCCAGACGCGGGCGTCGCCTACCAGCGCCCTTTTATTTTCCTGATATGCCCGCCCTCCCTCATCCAGAGAATGTATGATTTTAAGCTTCAAAATGAGCTAAAGCAGAAGCATTTTTGATCATTTTTAAAGAAGTTATGACACTTTGAATTTTGCCATTTTTTTATAAGTTTCTAGGTGTACTGATACTTTTGAGCGGTACTGTATATGTTTATTCTAAGCATTTAAATTTTTAAAAATTGAATAACGAAAACTTTTTTATATCTTACATTCTACTTAGTGTACAATAGTTCATCAAGCAAGTAATCCTTAATTAATTACGGAGAGGGTTTTGTCCCCCATACCCTCCCCGAAACTACACCACTGGCCCCACAAACGGCTTTTTTTTCTGCCTAGAAATATTTTTTCGGGGGGGGGGGTTGTCGGTTATGTTCTTCTAATATATATATTTATTCTAAGCATTTAATTTTTAAAAAATAAATAATGAAAACTTTTTTACATCGGACTTTCTACTTAGTGTACAATAGTTCATCAAGCAAGTGATCCTTAATTAATTTCGGAGAGGGTTTTGTCCCCCAAACCCTCCCCGAAACTACACCACTGGCCCCACAAAACTGCTTTTTTTTTCTGCCTAGAAATATTTTTTTCTCCCAAATGATAATCAGGCTTTGGATTTTGCTATAAAAAATTTTTTTTAGCACTTAATTTAAAAATTAAAGTTAATCATGATGTCTTCAATTTTAACAAACACAATTGTTTTTCCATGACTAATTTACTAAAACTATTTTAATTATTTGTGATGAAACTTACTTCGTAATTCTCAAAGTGATAATTTAATAAAAAATAAAAAAAATTTATAATTAGACGAAATATCGATGCTCTCTTATTTTTTATCAACTAATTAATATCTTTTTGTTCTCCTTGCTAAAATTGATTAAACGGAATAATGAAGATAGATTATCTTTGAAATGGAGGGAAAAAAATTTAATGATAGAATGTTTTATGCAATTAGAGCAGCCTTTTTATTATTAGCTTTTATTGATTGTGTTTAATGTAAGATTTTCATTGCAGGTTGAAGAAATCAGGGAGAATATCGAAAAAATACAAGGAAATGTTGAAGAAGTTAAAAAGAAACACAGCGCTATTCTTTCAGCCCCACAAACAGATGAAAGTAATTATTTTAATTTATGATTTGTTTACATTTTTCGAAGATAAAAAATTATCTAATATTTTTATGGAGCTAATAAATTATCTATTAATTCTTTATTTATTTTTTTATTTATGAAAATGAAATTTTCTTTGTGTGGTTTATTAGGTTTATACTTTTTTATTTTAGTTTATCTGTGAATTGAAATTATTCTTATTATTTTTTGTATATATTAATTTAGTTCCGTAACTTTAGAGATTATACAATTTTTTATTAAAGAAAAGAAAGAATTTTTTAAATTTTCTAATTAAATACTTGTAAAATACTTTTATGCAATTAGAAATAATTTTTTTTCTTTATTTTTATTTTAGTTTCTTTTTTAAAAAACTTATTTAAATAAACTGTAAGTATGTTAAGAAATCTTGCGAAACAACTTTGTTATGGAGTTTTATGTATAATTTTTTAAAAAAATATCTTTCCTGAAAAAAATCGCCACTATTTTTTTCAGTTCTCTTCGTAGTGCATTTTATGAAATATAATGTATTTAGTTTAAAATTTTATCTCATTAAAAAAAAATTTTTTTAAGCAATGACTAGTTACAAAATAATTGAAAAATGAAATTTTGGTGAAGTTATGATAAGTAGAGAAATTATTACTTTTTCTTTAACTGACTTCGTTTATTTTTTAAATGTTTAACCGTCTATTTTTAAAAATCGTCTCAGGAGAAATTAAAACTTGTTATTTTTTTATAAATGTTTTAAAGTTATCGCAATTTTGTTACGCTTTTTTTAACTTATAATAATAACTGATTAAAAGAAAAGAACAATTGCCTCCGTGTCATTTTTTTTAAAAATTAAAAAAGTTATACAAAATCCTTTTGTATTCGTTTCCCAATTAACTTCTTAAATACATACTAGTAAATCTAAAATATTTGATAAAAATTTAATTTTAATGAGAAATTTTTTAAAGCTGTATTTCTGCTATTTAAAATTTTTACTGTTTCTATGATAGTTCTTTGAGCTTTTATTTTATTTTAACAACTGCTATCTTAATAAGATACAGGGTGTTTCATATTAAACGCTTTTAATCTAATTTTTGTTAAAAATAAAGTAAAAAATGCTTGCACACAACAAGGGCACTAGTTAATCCTTAAAACTGGTTTAAAATTTTTTATTTTATTTTACAAACAAAGGAATAAGTTACATCTAAAAGAAGTTACTTTTGTGCAATGTCATAAATGTTTAAGAATTATAATAAATTATCCTAAATTAAAGCATTTAATGATTCTCTATTATCCAGATTCTGAACCAGTTCTTAAATTTTCTTTATTGATTCGTTCTGAATTTCGTTATTGAAATGACCACATGTAATATTCTATGGTTAAAAATATAACTTTTAAATATTATTTTAACACCACTAAAAAAAAAAATTCTGCATGGTCTCCGGATGATCTTCAAGTAATTTAACATTTCAATTACAATAAACCTTCTGCCAAGAATTTGCTGTTCCCTGACAACTTATTTCTTAAATCTTCCTACATGAAAAACTGATGATGAGGAAGATGATTGTCTTAGTAATAACAAAGGATGAATTATCCTCACAGAAATAATAAGGAGTGTAATATATTTTAATAACACTTTATTACAATAAATATTTAGCATAAATTCAGAATTTTGAGTAAAAATCTAGTAAATAAGAAAAGTTGGTGATACTGACTTCTAGCTGTGAAAGACGAAATAAATATATTTCTTTTATATTTTTACTTATAAAGTAGATAAGGAGATTGTGTAATTGTTTTTGAATTAATGTTATGCACCATTTTTAGAGGTTAAACAAGAATTGGAAGATCTTATGGCTGATATTAAGAAAACCGCCAATAGAGTACGAGCAAAATTAAAAGGTATGATAACTTTCTAAATACAATTTACTTAAAGTAAATTGTAACTTTAAGCAGTAAATTGTAACTAGGTGGTACGATCACAATACAATACAGGTGGTATGATCGCTTAGGATTGGATCTTGGATCGTAAACATTATTCTAACATCATTGTTACAGAGTTGTATAAGGACAGAGATTCCGCAGTGTAATCTTTTATAATTCACTTTTAGAATGGCATGGCAGGAAAAAAAGTGGAGAACTAGTCTTATTGATCGCATTATTTATACTACTGGATAATTTATGTAACTTTAATGCCAGTCAAACTACGTTAAAAAAATAAATCGCAGATGATTTACTTAAGAAATGTTAATTATTAAATATCAGAAAGTCTAACATTTCAGTTGACAATTTTGTCTTTTAGCGACGTTCCACAGTTACCACAAAAAATTAAATCCAATTTAAACTGAGTGCGATTCACCGAATAACGTGAGTTAGTAAGCCCATTTGGATGCTGTGGATTTATGGAATGATGCATGTTTGCTGTAGAAGTGCTTATGATAAGAAGTTAAGTGTTTCTTTTAGTGTTTTTAACTATTATCAAGAGTCACTGCAGAATTTTTGTAAAAATTCTTGTTTTGGTAAAAATATGAAGAATCTATTTATATTTTCATGAGTTTCTAAACTGTTCTGCATTTCCAGTAACGCAACCAAGTATCGGTCTGAATTAGTTAGGATTAGTGGAGGTCTGTTATATTTTGAGTTACAAATTTGCATATTTAGGTAAAGGCTGTACCGAATCAGCAGCCAATTTTTAAATACGAACTGAGCATCATTCTCTATATGAACAACAAAAAATTTCTGTTCGTGTTTTTCAAAATATCTTTTGTTTTTAACTTTCACTTTACTATTGATTCATTTTAAATGAAAATTTACATATTTTTCCATTTCTTATAGTTATGGAACAGAATATTGAACAATTAGAGCAGACAAGTATGATGTCAGCAGATTTCAGGATACGCAAAACGCAAGTATGTTTTATGTAGTTATCTTTTTTATAATAATTAAAAAAGATAACCACTTTTAACTTTTTTTATTTGATATTATTTAGGTTTTATCTTAATTTAAAGTTTCAATTAAAACTAGTCTTTCTTAACTTTAATAACAAACATTTTAGTAAGATTCCCATTTTTTATTGAACTCCATTGTATAACCAGTTTTATTGTGATCTTTCTCAGTTTATTAATTTTGTCTAACATTCAGTTAAAATGTGATTAAATGTGAGTGAGTCTGTCTAATGTGACTTGCAAACATTATCTTACTGACTACTAGCTGACTATTTCTTAGATAATTTGTGACACTTCTAGATTTCTTTAGTATCAATTCACCAACATAGCTGGTTATATAAATGGTTTCAAACAACTCATTTGTAAAATCGGTCTTATGAATTGTACTATCTTCCGGTCTTATGAATTGTAAATCTTGTAATTATGAATATTTGTTTAATTTTAGAGCTTTGTTAGTTTGATTATTGAAACTGATTATTGGATTTGGAATTTTCGTATAAATTTTTTTTTTTTTTTTAAAGAAAAAGGTGATTTGAGTGTGTTTAAGTAGTTTTGTGCCTTTGAAATTCATATATTATGTTTTACTCAATGTTTTAATTTATACTGTGTAGCATATTTGCATATCTAACACTAAAAAGTTCTTTATTTTATTTTCTGAAATGTTTATAGATGTTGGAAACAAGTCTTAAAATTTGAACTCATTGTTTTATTTATAAAAGAATATTTTCAGATTTAATTTTAAATATCTTTTTTTATTTATGTACAAAATTGTTTGTCACTTTAGTTATAAACATGAAAAAGTGTTAAAAAATATCTTGTTTTTTTTATGTTTAGTTAATCATTGCAAAATTGTTAGACTTTTCTTTGATCTATTAGAACTTATCAAATTTTTTGTTTTTTGTAATTGTGCAAAAAATATTGGTTATTGATATGCTGTATTTAGTTTTATTGCATTGTTAGTTAGACTTTTCAATTTAATTTCACATATTAAATTTGTTCTTTACTTATGTATAATTTTAGAATCAATAAAAAAATGAATAAAGCATTTTTTACTAAAATTCCATTGGAAATGGTACTAAATACATTTTAATTTGTGACTGCATCAAGTACGTTTTAACTGTCTTCAATAATATCTTTAATATTATCTTAACATTAATATATTTTATTTTAAAATCGATTTAAAAAAATCGATGCATTTTCATGGATAATATTCTATTTATATAAAGAATACTGAATGATGTTAAGATCCATAATTGTGTTTCCATCAGTTGCTAGGTTAAACTTATAAAGCAAGTTTTCCAACTAACTACATTACTTCCAAGTAAATTGATTGGAAATGTAATGTGAACTTAATCCCTTACTTTACCTTACTAGGGATCCTTACTTAATGATATAANCTATTTATATAAAGAATACTGAATGATGTTAAGATCCGTAATCCAACTAATTACATTACTTCCAAGTAAATTGATTGGAAATGTAATGTGAACTTAATCCCTTACTTTACCTTACTAGGGATCCTTACTTAATGATATAAAATGAAATAAAAAAGTCTCCTAAGATGAACTATTTGCAAGTGAGCTCGATCTGAAAAATATCCAATGTTTTTGTGAGCTGATCCCAGTTTGGAAAACCCTGTTATCTTTGCAATTATTCATTTTTTTTTTTTTTTTACTGGCATTACTNCATTTTTTTTTTTTTTGATACTGGCATTACTTAAATATATTTATTGACATTGCAATAGCAATAAAACATCATTTATTCAATATATTTATCTATTCTATAAATTAGATAATTGATTCTGTTATGTGAACTCCTAATTATTCTACCTAATCAAATATTTACCAGAATAAATAACATAACTTTCATCCAAATCAGATCTCCAGCATTGATGACCCTATGTCTAACATCTCTATTTGACATTTTTATACAGACATTTAGCTGTTTTAGTAACTTCATTTTGTTTTAAACTTTTTCATAGTTGTTTAGAGAATACTTATTTTTTCAAACTAATTTATCTGCTTTTATTCTTAGCATTCTATGTTGTCTCAAAAGTTTGTTGAAGTTATGACAGACTATAACAAGACTCAAACAGATTATAGGGAACGTTGCAAAGCTCGTATTCAAAGACAACTAGAAATAAGTAAATAAACTTTTCAATTTTATTTGTTTCATACCTATTGATAGATTGTGTGTGTTCATAATTTTCAATTTCCGTTTCATCATTTTAAATGAGTTAATGGAAAGAGAAAAAAATCACTGAAATCTTAAGATGGCTTTACAAGAGGTCATTTGTATTACAAGATTCCTTTTTAAATCTAATTAAGGAACTGAGTAATAATCAGTATTCAATTGTTGAGAAAACTTTGTCATCTTAAGAAGTCATTAGCAAGTGAACACTACATTTTATAAATGTTCACGTGTTTTTAACGGAAGGTAACTTAAGCAACTTATTTTAATTGCAAGATGTTTCTCCATATTTTCTGCATAAACTTGAAATCCTAATTTCACTTACATTTTACCTTGTTACTTATTTTAATTTTAATGTCTTAGCACTAACATTTTTATGAAATAAGATCATGTTCAAAAATTCATTTTTTTTAAAATCTTTTTTTTTATATCCAAGCCTTTTTTTAAACAAAAATCAAAGTATCATTAGATTGTTTTTAAAAATTGTTTTGCATCACAACTGTTGAATATCTTTTTATGTTGCAATTATTTTTTACATAAAAATAAGTGTTATCAAAATAAATTTTTCTTCAATATTAACACAATTTTTGTATCTCATTATAGACATTAATGTCAATTACTGTCAAATATTTTTAACAGTGAATTAATAGTCACCCTCTCTTACTAATGTTTCAGCCTGTTCAGAAAAATTTCCTTAGTTCTTAATATTACATTGTGACAAAATTTATTTCAAATCCTTTATTTTCAACATCTCCCTAACTTACTAAATCTTTGTACTTTGTTTATTTATTGATTTATGTTTGGCGACTTTCATAAATTTTGCAACTAATTTCAATTTAGATACAAATTTTCTTAATCTCAAAAATCACTTTTACTTTTAGCTGGAAAAGTTACAACAAACGATGAATTAGAAGAAATGTTAGAAAGTGGTAATCCTGCAATATTCACACAAGGAGTATGAACCATTCTGTGTTATAACTGTTATGAATAATGTTTAAATATTTTATTTCTTGTCTTCATTGATAGTCCAAATATTGTTGTAATTTTTTTTTCTTACAAGTTTAGTTTATTAAGCTTTATTTTAAAGAATTAATGTACAGTAGAGAACCGATTATCCGGAACGATCGGGACTATCGCTATTCCGGATATCTGATTTTTCCGGTTTTCTGAATCGCTACAAAAAGCCGTTTTTTTTTAGTGTTAAACCCAACTAAAAAAAAAATTATTTGGAAATAATCTTAAAAATAAGAAAAAACGATGAGGTAATACACTAATGATTATTTCTGAAATGATGGTAAGGTAAACATCTTTCAAAAAAGAAAGAAAAATCCTAATATCTTATGAGGAAAAAAAAAAATTTTTGTTTAAATTGCGGGAAAATTTATCGAATTTCGTTCCGGTTTTTTGGTTTTCCGGTTTTCTGAATTCCGGATAACGGGTTCTGTACTGTATAAGCTTTTTTAAGAGAACTGGTGTTTTTTTATATTTTGTATTGAAATATATTAAGTGAATATTTTTTGTACTATCCATTTTTTGAATAATTACTTTTCTTTGTGTTTATATTCTTCACTTTGATTACTACTGCTTTTTATTTATGCTTCCTACTGTGGGGGTCTTAATATCACTTGTGCTAAGTTGCTCTGGCCCCTAAAAAGAGCATAGCTGCTGATTTTAGTAAAACAAAATAAAAGCAAAAAGCTGTCATGATACTTCTGTTTTTATAACATTCTGGCTCCTAAAAGTTGGTCTTAGTTCTTATAGATTTTTCATTTTTGTGGATCCAAATTCTCGTGCGATTTTTTAGCGCATTTTTAAGCTATTTATTTTTCTTTGGAAATTCTTTATTAAGGAAAGTTCGAAAATATTTTTTTTTAAAAATATCAAAAAGACCTAAATATTGTTTAAAAGATAAATAATTGTTTATTTTTTTAGATAATATTTATAAAAGAGGGTTTAAAAAAAAGTTCAGAAATGATCAAATATACATTGGATTGAAAAAATGAAAATAGGTGCATCCAATATTTTTTTAAAAACTCTCCAATGATACCAAACTCAATCTTCCTAGTGAAGGGTGGCTGAAACTTTGAAATCTTAAATATTAACTTACGTTTTTTATTGCAGATTTGTATTCTCCTGAAAAAGTAACTCTATTGAACCTACCGATTTATGCATTTTGTTTTAGTTAGGGGCTATAACCAAAAAAAGATGGAAATGGATCACTAGGTTTTTAAAATGGCGGTATCTTGACACCCATCAGATCGAAAAAAATAGGGGTTCATATTTAAGATTTCAAAGTTACCTCCACACCACCCTAGGGTGTAGGAGGGGAATCAAGTTTGCTATTATAAAATAGCTTTTAAGAAATATAGCATTTAAAAAGTATTAAATGCCTCTACTTCTACTTTTTTTTAAAAATCTGATTTATATTTCTTGAAATCCGGACTGTTCCTAGCTTTTTTTACACTCTGTATATATATATATATAGAGAGAGAGAGAGAGAGAGATAGATACAGGATAATAACTCAAAGGAAACAGATATTATTTAAAAGGATTTGAAATGAAGGAAATAATAAAAAATTATTATAAAAGAAAATTAAAAATTAGGAAAATTAACAGGAAAATGATGTAATAGCTTTAACAACCCACTGAATTAAATTGTACTTCTATCTTAATTTGCATTAATTTAAATTAAAAACTTAATTAATAAAAAAAAATTCTTTTCTTTCAATCTTAATTATTTCTTATATTTGTATATCCATTAACAGAAAGCTTTCAGCGTTGCAGTGGGCATTGCAGATTATTTTTTATTTAAGTTTTCTTTTTATCTTTAAAAAGCAAACAAACAAGCAACAAACATTAGATTGCATTTTAAAATAGAGTCTAAACTCTATTTTTAAACGATTTCTATTTATTATTAAGATGATCAAATAGGATATGAATTGAAAGGTCAATTTCTTATCTTTGCAATGGTGTTTGAAATTTTCTTTTTCTTCAATTAAGGAAAAAATTATGACCATTTATATGCATACAAGTTTGTCATTTTGTATTTAAAAAAATTAGATTTTTCTATGCCCTTACTTGGATGATTTTCTTATTAAAAATCTAAATATTGGTAGAATTTCTAGCTTTACCATGTATGATCATTGCACTGAATTTCATTAAAATCGAAGGGGAGATCGGTCCAAAATTGATAGATCTGGTGTGAAATTACTCATTTATTCAATATAGAGAAATAAAAATTCTTTTAATTCTTTTTATCAATCATGTAATGAAACTTTTCTGAATGTATTTCATTAAATTAACTCTTTTTGTAGCTGATTGTTTTTGTTTGAATCTTATTTTTTTTAATTGTTTTCTTATTTCCAATTTTTCAGATCATTATGGAGACGCAGCAAGCTAAACAAACTCTTGCTGATATTGAAGCTAGGCATGCTGATATCATCAAATTGGAGACCAGTATTCGAGAGTTACATGATATGTTCATGGATATGGCTATGCTTGTTGAAAGTCAGGTTTGTAAATTATTTTTTTTTTCTAAAATATTGTTTGAAAAACATTGTATTACTCTTTCATTAATAGTTATCTCAAAATTTAATTCTAAACTTTTTCTGAGTTAGTTCTATAATATATCACAAATTTATTATAAACCAATTCAACTTCTTGTCTGTATATAATCAGTAACTACTTCTCTGTGTCTCCAAATCTCAATGCTTGATTGGTTAATGGATAATAATAATAATAATTAGTAGCATTGGATGAAATAACCTACTTGACTAATCTATTTTATTAATTCACATAAATAAACACCAAAACATGTTTTTCTAACACTTACTTATTTTTTCTATTTTTATTACTTACTTTTTTCTACTATTTTAAAATTTCTGCTCTACTGGCAAAGAAAACTTTTTTAAAATAGTTGGTTTTGAACCTTTGTCTTAAACTTTCCAAAATGAGATATTGTTGTGTAATTTAGAGAGCAAAGCCAATCAATTAATCACCTATTAAATTACCTTGCCTGTAAAGAAATGTAATAAATAGTTAATTACTTTGTTTTAATTACGCAAAATTATTATGGGTTTTTTAATGACAGAAGTCTTAAAATATTATTTAAACTTTGGATTTAAATTGATTTAGTTCTTTTAATTTTATGCTAGAAAGCTTCTTGTTATATTTAATAAATTTTTAAAATTTGGTAGAAAAATTTTTGCCATATTTTTTATATGCAGTAAGTGCATAAGTGATTACACGATACTACAGAATTGTATTTTGATTTATTTGCAAATATTTATGGACAGGAAATACCATGCATTATGTTGCATGGTATTTACTGCATTAAACATTGAAACCCCAATATTATCTCAAGTTTATTTAAAATTTCAAAGAGTTATCATGACATGGCTCCCACAAGTCAGAGAGAACAGGGAAATCCTGGAATTGTCAAGGAATTTTATTTTAACTCTAAAAATCATTAAAAGTTGCAAATTTTTTTACAAAATAACCTGGAAAGTTCCTATCTCATACCTGGAAAATAACCAGTCTTAGAATTGTAATTAACAGATATCATTTATTGAGATTCGAATTAAGTAATTCTTACATATCTATTACAATTATTTTATAAAATTCCACTTTGTAGTGAAACTTTTCCATTTTTATTGTAATATATGTTTTTGCTCACAAAATGTAATATTTGACATTACAAATAAAGAAAAACCAAAGTTTTCTGATGAAAAATTGCATGGTATAACTAAAATATAGCATAGATTTTCATTGAAATTTACCTGATTATACCTGGAAAAGATAGGGAATTTTTTTTCTTTCTGAAATAAAGTGGGAACCCTATTAATATTTAATTTAATATTGATATAAGTAAATAATATATATGTAATATTTTATACATTTTAATATTAATTTCTTTGCTTTTAGAATCTTTCTGGTTTTGTTTAATCCCATATTTGTGTTTTAAAACATTCATATTACTTATTGTATGTTTAATCTTATTCTATAGTGAATTGATTTTGATCACTGATTTTAAATCAGACTCTTGCTAGTTTTAATATTGTTTGATTTCTATACGACACTTTTGGATATTTTTGGAGAGTCAATTTCTTGAGGATCTGTCAGAAACTAGTTTAAAAATCCAAATTTCATTCCAAGTATTTCTTTGGAATTATTTATATCGTAAATATTTGTCAACAAAATATTACATATTTCTCAACAAAAAAAATTTAATTAAAGGCAAAAAATAATTATAAAATATGTTTAAGCATACATGCTCCATATTAACTTGAATCTCTTCCCTGAATTTAAATTTTACTCATGCTAGTTTTATTATAGCTGGATTATATATTTTTAAGGATGTTGTATTTTGATTGCATTTATATTATTGTCTATATTTATAGGGAGAAATGATAGATAGAATTGAATATCATTGTGAGCATGCTAGAGATTATATAGAGACTGCTGTGCAAGATACCAAAAAAGCTTTGGCTTATCAGAGTAAAGCTCGAAGAGTATGTATATATTTTGTTTTTCTTAGTTCATTGTCAACGCTTTCTAAATGTCTTCAAAAATAAAAATTAAAGAAGTCAGAGCTTATGAGGAGAAAAATGGCATAAATGTGTGGTAACTCACATTGTTTCACATAAATTAAGCTCATATATATGATTTAGCCAATCATTAATAATATTTTGATATGTTTTGTTTATACTGTCTGTAGGATAAAAGAAATTGTTACTGGTCTAACACACCTTATAACAGTCAAAGCTCTAAAATTGTGTTAATGGGCTCCAGACCAAATGAAAATTGTGTAATTCATCAAGAATCAGTGTGGCATTTTATTGACTGGGCAACATTACCTACTGCATTTTAAAGTTACCGCTTTAATAAAACGAAAGATAATTGTGTATCTAAGCAAATGAAGATTTAATAATCCCCCGAGTATAAGCTTGAAAAATTTTCTACAGTTCATGAATGCATGTTCATTCCATCTGTGCATTAGCATATAAGCATATTAATGCATATAGGGTATCCTCGAACCTAGAAAATCATGAATTTCAGTATTGAACAAAATTTGTCATGAAATGTCGTGATTTTAACTATTTTTTTTATTTAAAAAAAGTCATGAAATGTCATGGATTTAGGTCGCCGAAAATTCTAATTTTTAAAATGGAATTTACCCCCCCCCCAATTTCATAGTGTTCTGAATATCTGAATTTGTAACAAAATCCCCACTCACAGTCATATTTGATTAAAATATAAAATGTTTTTATCGTGTTCTTTAAAAATTATGGTGTTCTCTCAAAAAGTGAAAGAAAAAACATCATTTCTACAGCGAATAATCTTTTTAACTTCTTTGATTTCAGAATTTTTGTTATTATTTTTTATTTTTGTTTTATAAATTTAAAATTTTAGCTGAAGCAAGCCAGTCATTGGTGAATTTTTTTATTCCGAAATGAGAACAGAAAAATCAGGAGTATTTCTTTCCTTTCCGATGAACAAGAAAAATATCTTTAGAATGTAATTCTGCAGGAAAAAAAAGAAAAAATTATTTGCTATTGTATATTTTTCAGCTATTTTATAGCTTCAACTCTTTCTTTAATCTGTTTTTTAAATTTAAGATCTATAAATATGAAGATACAGAGTATAACAGTTTTGATTATACCTATCATTTCAATGAATGTTATTATAATGCTAAATTTATTGTTGTGTTTTTGTCTGAGAAAATAGTAACTTCGTTAAGTCATGAAAACTTCTTGGGATTAGGCATGAATTTGAAAATCTAAAATGTAGCAGATACCCTGTGCATAGACCCTCACCTAAGACAAAATCTGGTATGCCAGTTCTGGGAGCAATACATAATCGACAGTACATATGTTTCGAAGTGAGGTCAACATTTTACTGCAATAAACATTTATAGGAAATTTGTTTGTCATTTAAGCCAAGGCAAAGTAGTATAGTACTGCCATATGTCGTTGAGGAATGAGAAAATTACATGTTTGTTATTCTGGGTTAAAAATCTGTGAGTGCAAGGAAGATGTCCATTGACATCGGCTGGAATCAAATCACTGAGTTTTGCAGCCAATCCTGATTATCTGCTCCTCTATATTTATGATAAGGGCTTCGGATTAACATAGCAAAATTTAGCAGTGGAAAATACTAGATTTTCTTGTATATCAATTGCTATATCTTGTTTTGAATTAAATAACATTGTTATAAATTTCTAGGGAAGGTGATATTTTTGATGATAATGTCACAGTTACAGAATTTCAGCCTTAAAAGTATTTTCATGATCGTAATTTTGCATTTCATTTTAATTAAGTTTTATTTTTAAGTTTAAATCTAAGCATGCTACATTTTATTAATTTATCTTATGTTTTGAATGATTTTTTCCTTTTCTCTATTGTTTTGATTTCCCCCTTTTTTGTTAGTTTTATTGGTTTTCAGTTTATGATTTTGTTCATTTGTTTTTATGTTTTTTAAAAATATAATTTCTATTTTTTTTTATAGAAAATGATATGCTTGATTATAACAGGAATCATCGTTTTAATCATTGTAATCATCATCATAGTATACTCTGCTGGGGGATTTAATTAGTGATAGAGCTTTTTAAAATCAAAAGAAAGAGCTACACTGTTGATATATGGATCATACAAAGTATTTATGAGAACAATATACAACGACAAAATGATTACAAATGAATGATTTTAATCATTTCAATTATTTTCATTGCATAATTTTAATTTGTTCCTGAACTTTTATGATTTTATTTTTTCATACCAAATAATGAAATTAATGATCACAATTGTAGATATTTTTAAATATATGCCTACTTCAGTAGTTTCTGATTATCGACATAAATTTCATTTTATGTTTAATTGTATGAAAAGTCATTCCTAAGACTGCCACATGATTTTGTGTTGTTGTGAATAATGTCTAATTTATTTTGTAGATACTTAAATAACTTTAGTTAGTTTTGTGTAATTTATGATTAATAAGTGCCTATATTTTATTTATTTTTAATCAGCACTATTTGAACTTTGTGTTGGTTATTTCCTTTAGAGAAGCCAAAATCCTTTTACATNTGATTGTATGAAAAGTCATTCCTAAGACTGCCACATGATTTTGTGTTGTTGTGAATAATGTCTAATTTATTTTGTAGATACTTAAATGACTTTAGTTAGTTTTGTGTAATTTATGATTAATAAGTGCCTATATTTTATTTATTTTTAATCAGCACTATTTGAACTTTGTGTTGGTTATTTCCTTTAGAGAAGCCAAAATCCATTTACATAAGTTTTATATCTTGGTAGTTAGTAGAGGAAAAAGAAATGCATACCTTTACATGAAACGGAATAAAATGGGTCTAAAATGTGACTACTCCTTATTTTGCTTTAATCCAGGGAAGAGTTGTGCCTTTCACGGGGGTTATGGTACGACCCCAAATTAAATTCATTAATACGCTGCTAAAAGAGGTGTGGCGTTATAGTTTTTATGGAAATGTAGCGTTTTTAAGTCATAGATGTTGAATATTTATTGCTTAACTATTTGAAGCTTTTTACCATTGTCTTTGTGATAAAATTTAATGAAATATGATTGTATTTACTTCTCTGATAGTTAAAATATAAATTATTGCTTGATATAATTGTTTTAAGTCAGACATAGTTACACTCAAAAATTATGTTTCTTGGGGGAAGAAAATTGTGCACAAATTGTTAGTTTCAGTTTCTAGATTTCTCAAGAAACACTATCTTTTTAGGAAGTTTTTAGCTTCTAATCTTATGACTTCATGCAAACAAAAGTTTAATATTTGAACTTATCCATCATTATTGAAACAAAATTAACTACTCGTTTGCTGGCGTTGATCATTAATAAGTGATATAGCCAGGTCTTTTATTTTCATGCACAATTAGGTAATGTTGTCTGATTTTATACACAGTTATTGTTAGATAGCAAAGGAGTTATTCTGTTACAACTGTAAACAAGTAGAGATCATTCTAATTGGAAATGAAAAAAAAAACGCACTGAACTTGACAGCCATGAGATATAAAATATGATTTGTAGAAAAATCAAAGACGCACAGGATCATTCTATGACTCCAGTAACTGATAAAATGACTATTTCGGGTGCCGAAAATTCCTTCAAATTATCCACAAAAGATAGATAAGGATGGAAAACTAGGTTACTAATAAAACAGGTTTTTAGTTTTTTAGGAATGAGAACTTATAGGAGGCACGTAGTCATAAAATGACCCCCATGTGTCCTACCAGGTTGACTGGCACAATATGCAAAATAATGAAAGGAACACCTTAGTAACTTTCGATTTATTGATCAGATTCTTACATACTATTAAAATACAGTCTTCTTGATTCTTGGGACTGACCTTATGTATAACTAATTTGAGAAAACGATATTTTAAATTACAAAATAAAACACAAAAACATACTTTTTCTGAATAAGCAATCTTTCTTGTTTACTATTTCAATTTTTGACCCTCAAAATATGGGGTGTAGCTGCAATCTGAAAAATATTTAATAATTTATATAGAAAATGATTAAGTTAAAGGCCCATAAGGTTAATCATAAGATGCCGTTATGGTTAGTTCCCAAACATTTAATCATTAAAAAGGAAGTATGTGTTTTATATTTTACACTCATACATTAATAGATATGTATAATGTCTTAACTTTTACATCTGTAAGAAACTAACAGCTTGTGTTGATTAGCCTCTCGAGTCTAACTTAAAAAGTCGCAAATTGTATTTTATTGGAAAATGTAAATAAGGATTTATGTAATATTATGTAAAACAGAATTTAATTAATGAACCTGGGAAATGTTTCATAACTTGAAAAATAGGCAAACAGTAGCAAAGATGCCAACTGCTATAGACTTTCTGTATGTAGTTTTTATGAATTTACTGTAAGCTTATTTGAGAAAAGTATCACTTTCTGAAAATTTTCATAGCTATCATTTTCTTGGCAATTCATTTTTATTTGATTTGAGAAAGGCCCTTTATTTATGTCACAGTTGCAATTGCTTTGGGGATTTTATTAACTTTATTTGCAGATCTTTATGCAATTAAATACATTGAGGCTTATTCTATTATTTTCAGAAAAAAAAACTTAACTTCTGAAATAGCAATAAAATGTTTCTTTCTGCACTTTAACTATGAAAAAATGACTTGATACAGAAAAAGCATTGCTCTAGGTTGGCATCCCCACTGTTGAAAGAAGGTCACATAACTAATACTTACTTAATGTATTTTTTTTTACAAAATAGTCATAAATTGCTTTTAACTGACAAATGTAAGTTATTAAGAAACTATTTCAATGAAAAAGTTGTATGCCTATGGCGAAATTCTGCCTTATCATGAATTCTTCCTAATCAGTTACAAATCTTACATTTTACTTAAAATGCGTAAAAACGATCACAAAGTGGAAAATACAATTTTACTAATTTACAAAAAGAGTAAAATGGTATCCCGATGTATAGCTTCAGTGTATTAAAACTTTATC